TTGCAGATCAGCAGGACAACGATGCAGAGAGTCAGGATGAACAGGGGAATTCAGGGGGGAATCAATGTATTGTGTGTAATGCTTAAATTGCTGATGATTATATTGCTTTCCATTGTCCAGACTGGAGAAGCCGCTCAGTTCGAGTGTGTGGGATCAGGGGGAGAGGCCCCTCTGAAGTTTCAGTACATAAGAGGCACCCCCACCACTTTCGTGTTCGACTTATGTGAAGTGATCAAAAGGGGGCAGCAAAACTTTTACCACATTATTTGCCTATAATTAGGTGGATTTTCTTATTAATGCCTATAATCACATGCTGCCTATGATCGCCGTTATCACATATTAGTAATCACATATTAATCAACATGATCACATATACTGCTTATAATCAAGGTGATCTCCTATCGGAGATCAAAAGGGGGAATTGTGGGATTCAATAGAATTATAAAGAACATACAATGAATAGAGGAAAAGGAGAATATAGCTTAAAGCAGGGCATGATGAAATTGAGGGGTGCATTAGACAATAATGAAGGGTTAGTTTCACTATAATCCAAATATTAACTTACTAATGTTTAATAACACAGTGTCTAATATAATGCAGACACTAAAAACGGGAACTGCTAGACAAGAAAACAGGTCAAGAGGACCTCGTCCTAAACAGATTGAGGGGTTAATCATTTAAGAATGCGATAAATAATTGTTCCCGGCAGTAAGAGAACAGGAACCGAGCAGGCCAGGAGGACCTTGTTCCCGACAGTAAGAGAACAGGAACCGATCATGTACCTGACACTTATTTTTACTCTTTTCTGGGGACAGGCACACATACTAACTAGAGCAAAAGTCAAAATATGTGGTAGTCACGTAGGTGGAAAAGTACAGAAAAGGGGGGCCACACCCCAAAAGGCTTATAAACGCACAGGGCTGATACCGATGTTTTGAGCATCTTCCTGTACATGCTGAATGTGTGTCAGATCGTTGCTCCCTGATTAATCAGAATAAACTGGTGTCCTGCAACCACTCCTCGACTGTGCAGTGAATCTCTTCTCATCAACGGACTCCGGCGGAGTTCAGACTCCAACACTTGTTAAAATGAGCGCATGCTCTCTCTCTCTCACTCGCTCTCCACGTAGAGACACTTAAATAGCAGCGTCGCTGTCAAATCGGTGGCAAAAATGGCGCAACATAAGGTGGCGTCGAAGACCCAAGCGCTATCGTCCCCAAGATATTAAACATTTGTCGTAATATCATAAACAGCGGCACCCTGGATTGCGAGAAGAACGCCCCATCCCGACAGAACGCACATTAACTCTACTTGTTAATCTGACTTATTTGTAAACAGTATAAAATGATCTATTTCTAATTAAAATAAAAGTCGGACTCTAACACCACAAGTCCCGACTGTTTAGCAACATTTAGCTAATTTCATCAGCGGACGGCTAATCACAAGGAATAAACATCTTAAAAGATGTATTTACTTGTATTTTGCTATCAGGGCTTTGGAGTTTAACTTCAGTTCGGTGAAAGTATAGGACCTCAATGTGTATGCAGACCCAAAACACGCTAATTACTTAGGCGTTCATGCAACTTATCGCGAAAAACCAGGCAGAAATAGACTTGTAATTTTTATTTTTTAAAATAAAATGTAAAAAGATATTAACTGTTTTTGTTAACGTTTAAAGGTATAAAAAAACTTTTAGACAATAAGTTTTAGGGCTGAATTCATGTGCTTTAACAAAATGTGGCACCAACGACATTGTCGTACTGAAAA